TGAATTTTTTAGTTGAATTTTTTTTCAGCTTTGTGGTTTATGTTTGGTACTTTTGTTTTCTCTTTTTTGAAAATTTACTCAGTCTTACCTGATCGAAGTGAATATCTTTATGACTATGATTTTGAACTTAGTTTATCAAAATCTTTTTCTGAGATTTTATCTTGTTCTTTTGTTTGGAACAAATTTTTATTTTCCTTGACTCTTTGTTGGTTTTTAAGGATAAAATACAACAACTCTATATTCCTGCCCTTGTTTGTGGTTGTCTCTCAAAGTTTGGTGGTTATCCAACCAGTCTTCTTTATTAGCGGCTTTCAGTTGTTGAGGGTGTACTAGGACCTGTCAGTGTTGTAAAGGGGAGGATCTCAGTAAGCACCTAGTTTTAGCATGATTGGAATTGGGACCCTCAAGCAGCAGTTTATAAAGTATTCAGCTATACTTTTTCAGGGTTATAGTAGGAGCTGGGTGGTTCTCTTTGTTGACTTTATGCTGTGCTGTGGGGGATAACCTGTTAAGCATTGTTTCTGTTTTTTACAGCCCCCTGGGACCCATGAATTTAAGCCCTGATGGCCAAGAGATTCAAGCCATCAAGAGGTGTCCCCTAGGTGGTTGCTCCAGAACTGGGTGCCATGTCTGTGTATAAGTTACTTTTTGGGAGGAACCCATGTGACCTCAAGCAAGACAGAGGGAGACTGCAAAGATGGTGACCTGCCAGCTTCCTGTGTCTGGAGAATATTATAGTCCAGTCCAAGCCAGCCTTGTTTTAACATCCCTGATGTGTATTAAATTAGAATCCTGACCCTCAGGCCACAGCTATGAAGATAAGCAAATAGGCCCTCTTTCTTGTTCTGGACCCTAGGGGGTAGGCCCAATAAGACTGTGCGTGCCTTTAAAAACTCTTAGTTCTCTTTAACATTGTGGGTTTCTTGGACTCAAGTCCTGTTGGCTTGTAAAGCTAGGTATTTTGGGGACCCGTTTCTTAGGGGCACCAGATGTAAGATCCAAACCCTTTGCTCCTTTGATTCTCTGCTCCTCAGGAAGAAGCTGGTTGTTGTGAGTTGTCTCTTAGTTATGTCACTGTGCTGGGACTACTGTTTATGCTGAGATTCTGACTCGACCTCTCCCTGCATTGCAGTGTGGGTCTTTTCATTCACTGAGGTATAGCAGTCACTCAGCTAGTTTCAGAGGGAAGTGTTCATGCATAACTGTAGATTCGGTGTGTGTGGGAGGAGGAGACTTTAGAAGCTTCTAACATTTCTATTTTGAATTAGAACCCACCATTCAATGATTTTTTGGGCTGCTATACATCTTTAGTTTCACATTGGGATGTTTAAAAATTTGGTCAAAACCGTATATTCTATTTTATATAATTTAAAAGTTTAGAATTGTTAAAAACATTTGGCAATATTTAAATCTGTTAATTTTGTTTATCATTTCTGTTTAAGCTACTTCAGATATTTTAAATAGAAAATCATTTGTTTAAATGTTGCTTTTATTTGTCACTTAAAAATATTGCCAACACCAGGGGGTGGCTCCATAGTGTCACGGTCAGCACATCTGCTTTACATGCAAAAGGTCCTGGGTTCCCCAAGTAGAGCCACTGACCATGTCCAGAGTGCACCAGGTCTCCCCGCTACCTCCAGTGCACCAGGGGTGGGGGTTGGTGGGCAGGCAGGCCATGAGCGCGTGGAGGGAGATGCCCTGCCTTCAGAGATCCAGTTCTTAAAAAAAAATAGGTCAGGTGTGGAAATGGCGGGGGGGGAGGGGGTTGCATGTAAAATATTATCAACACCATAATATGTTAGCTGAGCACCTATAAAGGACACCCTAAAGCATGTTAATATTTACATTAAAATTAGCTTTCGATAAGTCATATGCTTGTATATGAACAGTTATTATTTGACAGTGTTTAGGAATGGCATGTAAAGTTGGTGACTGGAATAACAGAATTTTCAAATAAATAAAAAGGCTGCTAAATTGTGAATAATAGCATCATGGGAGAAGGGAAGGATACTTAGATTTCACACTGTTCTGGGAGGATATTCTGCTTTAACTTTACTGTTTAAACATTTGCTGTTTAGTGGTTTTTTCAAGGTGTTATGGATTGTATACGTATAATTCATCTTTAAAACGATAGTGTGAGCCAGTTATTTTTGTGAAGGGCATTGCTTGCTTTAATACAATATCTTGCATTGTTTCATATATTTTTAATTTATAATCGTTAAGATATTATGTTTTCAAATACTATATGGGTTTTCATTTGGATTTAAGCCTTAATATATATTAAGTACTAGTGAATTCACTTCTGACAGTTTTTCATTGATTTTTTCAAGTTTCTGTCCCTAAAATTGAATGAATTTAAATTGAATTTAGATTGAATCTAAATTTCCTACAACAAATCATGAAAAATTCTTTAATGATATTTCATAAAAAAAGCAAACTAGATTAATTTTGGAACATTTACTAAGTATAGAAAAACAAAATGAGTAAAATACGTTGGAACTTTTAAAGATTTGTTTCATGTCATTTTAGTTCTTATTCTTTGAATTTTTGTGAAACCATATGTTTAAGTCAAAGTTTTTTCAGCGATGGTACTAATGACATTAAAAACAATTACTTAATTTATTCTTTTTTTGTGTGTGTGTGACATTGCTTAACGAAATCCAGTTGGTTTCAGCTGTATATTTTAACAGTAAGGCATGGATATATTTACAGTATGTGTTCTACTAATGACATTTTTCACTAGCTAAACCTCTTGTGGGGAGCTGCCCTGCTTGGCTTTTTTAGGACGTATATCAGATTATTTCTACACTGCCAAATGCTCCTAGTAGAACCGCAAATCTCTCAGTTCATTTCCTCTCTCCTTTATTTTGGGTACTGTGACAACCCAAAGTTGTTGGGTCCTTTGCTGGTCACATACAGAGAAGCCTGAGGGAACTGGTTTATCTCAGAGAAAGCAGTTTTTATTCATGGGGCAGCCAGAAATGTAAAGTACCTGGAAACTGTCTTTTGTCTTCCTTCTTGTTCACTTTTACCTTATTTAACAGTTGATTCTCTTGATAGAAAAACATCATCTTTGACTACCAATACTTTTTTGTAGTGGCATAGTGATGAAAGGTTTAAGAAATTGGTACTGAAGCCTGAGTTTATGGGCAGATATATTTAAGTTCTCTTTCTTAACTGGGCATTACGTTTCATGAGAGAATTAGTGACACTGTTAATTTTAGGTGTCAAAAGTATTAAGTAGCAGGAGAAAGTTTGCTGTAGTGGATTGACAGTGGCATGAAGGTATACTGACAAGAATAGGATATTATATAGTTATATTAGCATCAGTTGGCTTACATCATGAAAAAATTTTATTTATGTTTACATTTAATTAGCTATAAGAAGTTACAGAAGATTAGGTATAAGTTTTCTTAATGTGTAATTAATTAAAAAATAAGAAAATAATTAGAGATTTATTTACAATGCTTCATATTAAAATGTCAAATTCATTGTTTTGTTAATGTAAAGCTTAAAAAATATAGCCTAATAGTTTTAACATAATAATTCTAAATTATAAAGCACTGCAGTGGTTTTGTATTTTGAATTATAACTATTTGTCAGATAGAAGTCATAGATGACTTGAACAACATAGGATCTGGAATTTTGTATCTCCAAATTATAGTAATTTCTGGGACTTGAGTAGATTCAGACTTTTAAATTTTCAGTGATTGTAGTTTGATACCAAGGCTTATATTTAGATAACTAATAGAAGAATAGAAATTTAAAACAGTCCTTTTAAATCTTACTGTAGAGATAATTGATTCATCCCAGAACACCTATACTTATAGTAGATCTATAAACTTATTTTTAAATACCTATGCTCTACTTTTTTGGGTATGTGACTTTTTTTCCCTCTCTGTATTTGAAATCTTC